AAGAATGAAGAGATTTAGGAACTACACTGACATTCAAGTTCTGATTACACTGGAGAAAGGACAAGTCTAATGGGCACAGCCTACTATAATTGATTGGATGAAAGTGAGTGGCTGGAAATGGAAAAAGAGGTGGCCAGGCAATCTGACTTGTGTCAATTGAAACAAAGGTAATTAAGAGAGTATTGGAAACTTTGTGTGTCTGTGATTGGTGGTGGGGGTAGAAGAAAGGGATGTGACATTGAGCTGAGCCTGAAGGTTGGCACAGGGATGAACAGCACTTTGAATCTCTGCATAGGTAACAGTTATGAAAAGGTGTCTTCTATCCAGGAAGAGTGTCATTCAAAGCACTTTTGCCTGGCATGGAATGCTGGGAATGGGTGAGTGGCTTCACTTCCTAGAGGCCTTATAGGACAAAGGGATCCTGATTCAATCCTCCCAAGGGAAAGCTGGAGGAGATTTTCAAGTAGGAGAGTAACATTATCAGGTGGACTTTTGTGAGGATCGAAATAGACAGCATACAGAAGACAGGCAAGAATGAGAATATAGTACTTTTGGGCCAAAAGTGAGAAGGCTTTAGGTGGGGAAAAAAGTGCCAATTTCCTGGATTAAGGCAAGTGATAGGCAAAGAGATAAAAATCTAATAAGACTTTTCTGTAATTGATTATGTGTGTACCAGAGTAAAAATGCCTAGGTTTCTAATTTGGACAATTTGGTGGGTGGTCCCTATGGTTTCCTCTTGGTATGTAGATACTATGTTTTATCTTCATACAATAAAGACGTTCTTGCCAAGGTAGTGCCCACGGGTATCATTGCTGGAATAAGATTGGCTGGAAGGTTGGCAAACATTGTTGTTCCAATCTCTAGGTCACACAAAGCACTGGTTTTGGCAAATGTTAGATATCCTAAAGGGGTAGAAACGTTTTTTTTTTTTTTAAATTCCGAACTTTTTACATAGAAACATGAAATGCTGTAACCCCCTGCAAGGATCCCTTGGAGAGCTACATTGAAAACAAACATATTAAAGGCTCATAGTGACTCAGAGTTTCTCAGAGTCACTTGAGTTTAGAATTCCTTTTACACAGAAAACATATTTGGGGCTATTGCTGGTAGAAGAGATCTAACAAACTGAACGCAGTCTCAATGTTATGACATTGAGAGGAGGCTAGGATTCCATTATTGAAGAATATCTGTGTAGTGTTCTGCCAAATGTTTCCCAGCCCAAGTGGGAGGAAAGATATGAAGAAACGTGGGAGGAAGTACAAAATCATTGTCGTACAGAGTAGAACAGCAGAGTCCTCTGAGCTGCAGGTGTAGAGCACTTGCCTAGCACATGCAAAGCCTTGGGTTCCATCTCCAGCACAAAAAGGGTCTCCCTTGGGAGTATAAGGTCATGAATTTAAATTGAGACCAACCTCCTACTGTTTTTGTACTGTTTTCTCCAGTAACAGTCAGTTTCCCAGATTCAGTTGCTGAAAAGACAGGGGCTGGGTTGAGCCAGCATTAGGATTTTTCAGGTGAGAAGGATGGTAGGGAAGGGGCATGAGGTGTTAGGAGCGGATTCCATCTTCAGTGCAGAGGGAGGGAGGAACACATGAGGGTGTGATGATAATGGAGAAGGACAAGCCTTTGGATCAGGAGCTCTTGGGCTGTCAGAAGACAGCCGTGATCTGGAGCACTAGAGTGCAGAAATGGAAGGGAAAGAAGATGGGAGATTTCAGAATTCCAAGGTGAGGCCCATATGGTAGTGGTAAGAGCTGGGGTGTAACCACGTGGGGAGAGGAGTGAATGAGTGATGGTAAGAGGTTCTTGGAAGAGGTCAAGGTGCTGGTGACATCCAGGACAGCAGTGGATGTAGGATGGAAGAGGAAGGTGATCGAGCCAAGTGCTAATAATCCTCAGGATTCAGGGAGGATAGGGAATTCTAGAGATGGTAGCATCAAGACAGTGAGTGGAATCACTAGCAGGTGACATGAGCTTCAGAGGAGCTGAGAATAGTAAAGAAAAGAAATGCTTTTGAAACAACACCTCTAGCTCCACATTAATCTTTTTATTTTTATTTTTTATTCTAATTTGTTATATATGACAGCAGGATGCATTACAATTCGTACTATACATATAGAGCAAAATTTTKTATATCTCTGGTTGTACACAGAGTCACATCATCATGTACTTAGGATAATAATGTACTTAGGATAATAATGTCCATCTCATTCCACTATCTTTCCTATCCTCATACCCCCTCCCTTTCCCTCCCACCCGTCTGCCCTATCTAGTGTTCATCTAATCCTCCAATGCTCCCCCCAACCCCATCATGAATTAACTTCCTTATATAAGAGAAAACATTCAGCATTTGGTTTGGGGGAATTGGCTAACTTCACATAGTATTATATTCTCCAACTCCAACCATTTACTGGCAAATGCCATAATTTCACTCTTCTTTAAAGCTGAGTAATATATTATTGAGTATATATACCACATTTTCTTTGTCCATTGATCTATTGAGGGACACCTAGGTTAGTTCCATAGTCTTGCTATTGTGAATTGAGCTGCTATGCACATTGACATGGTTGCATTACTGTAGTATGCTGATTTTAAGTCCTTTGGGTATCAACCAAGGAGTGGGATAGCTGGTTCCATTTCAAGTTTTCTGAGGAATCTCCATACTGCTTCCAGAGTGGTTGCACCAATATGCAGTCCCACCAGCAATGTATGAGTGTGTCTTTTTCCCCACATCCTCACCAATACTTATTATTGTTTATATTCTTCTTTTTTTTTTTTTAGAGAGAGAGAGAGAGAGAAAATTTTTTAAATATTTGTTTTTCAGTTTTTGGTGGACACGTCTTTATTTTATTTTTATGTGGTGCTGAGGATTGAACCCAGCTCCGTGCACATGCCAGGGGAGCACGTTACTGCTTGAGCCACATCCGCAGCCCTTGTTGTTTGTATTCTTAATAGCTTCCATTCTGACTGGAGTGAGAAGAAATTTTAAGAGGAGTTTTGATTTGCATTTCTCTAATTGCTAAAGATGTTGAAAATTTTTTCATATATTTGTTGATTGATTGTATATCATCCTCTGAGAAGTTCCTGTTCAGTTCCTTGGCCCATTTATTGGTTTGGTTATTTGTTTTTTGTTGTTGAGAAGAAGCTTTTTAGTTTGAATCCATCCCATTTTTTGATTCTTGATGTTAATTCTTGCACTACAGGAGTTTTATTAAGGAAGTTGGGGCCTAATCTGACATGATGGAGATTTGGGCTTACTTTTTCTTCTAGGTGCAGCATCTCTGGTTTAATTTTGATCCACTTTGAGTTGAGTTTTGTTAATGATGAGAGACGGGGGTTTAATTTCATTTTGTTGAATATGGATTTATAGTTTTTCCAGCACCATTTGTTAAAGAGGCTATCTTTTCTCCAATGCATGTTTTTGGTGCCTTTGTCTAATATACGATAATTGTAATTTTGTGGGTTAGTCTCTGTGTCCTCTATTCTGTACCATTGGTCTGCAAGTCTATTTTGGTGCCAATACCATGCTTTTTCTGTTACTATTGCTTTGCAGTATAGTTTAAGGTCTTGTATACTCACATTAGATTTTGAGATGTGGAATATCAGAGAAAAAGAACCTCAGTTTTAGGGAGCCATAGGGGCAAGAAGTATCCTCAGGGAACATTTGGGCTCCAGATAGAACCAGAAAGTAAAAGGAAGGTAACAGGTGTTTGCTAAGGCACTGTATTCCAGAAGGCACAGTGGAAGGGTTTAAGAGTGTGGGAGGGGTGGGGACAAGTTGGTTGGAAGGATGCCTACTGTTCATGGGAATCCATCAGATGATGGAGCTTCGAAGAGGGTGAAGAAGAAAAGACTGGTCCTGGTGAAAGATGGTTGGCTCCAGTAAAATCAGGCAGAGGCCTCAATTTGCTTTGGCTGAACCAAAAAGATAATTTTGTACTTAGCCCTCCTTTACTGTATATGATTCCTCTAGTGTCTTACTTCCCACAGCAAGTGAGGCTGGGTCTAATGGCTTATACATACTTCAGTGGACTCAAAAAACAGCCACTACAGAAATGATTCCTCAGGAAGAGGCAGGGACACCACCCTCTACAGAAGTGCATTCTGGCAGGGTTCAGAGGCACACACCTGTAATCCCAGAGSCTCAACAGGCTGAGGCAAGAGGATCTTGAGTTCAAAGCCAGCCTCAGCAAAAAAGAAAGACACACTAAACACTAAACAACTCATTGAGACCCTGCCTCTAAAT